GGTTTGTACGAAGGTTGGATTGTTGTTATTCCTGATTTCTTGGGTCCCAAGGGTGCATTCGGTGTTGGTTTACAAGCTGCCCATGCTACTTTAAACTCTTTAAAGGCCGTTGTTTCATCCAATGCTATCACCGGAGCTAGCAAGGATGCTCAAATTGCTCTTTGGGGTTACTCTGGTGGTTCCCAGCCTACCGTGTGGGCTGGAGCTTTAGCTCCAACGTACGCTCCTGGATTGAATATCGTTGGTGCCGCTGCAGGTGGTGTTCTTATCAGTCCTGAAAATATTGCATCTATTACTATGAATGGTCCATTTTCTGGTCTTATTGTTAATGCTATTAACGGTCTTGCAAATGAGTACCCAGACTTGTTGCAATTTATCAAAGATACTTTCTACAAAGCAATCCAACCAAAGTTCTTTAGCGTTACGAAACAATGCTTACTCCCAAGTGTCGTTGACAACCTTTTTACTAATTGGAAGCAACTTTCCCCATTGGGAATCGGTGTCTTGCAAGCTCCTGCTGTCAAGAAAGTTACTGCTGCTAATAACTTACTCAACTTGAACGCCAAACCAAATGCTCCATTTTTCATATACAATGCTAAATTTGATGAAATTATTCCAGCTGCCGACGCTGACCAATTATTTGACAAATGGTGTGCTCAAGGTGTTAGTATTCAATACAATCAAGATTTACTCAGTGAGCACGTTACTCAGGCCATTTTTGGTTCAGGCAGTGCCTTCACTTGGCTCAAGGATAGATTAAATGGTAAGAAGCAAACTGGCTGCAGAAAGAGACCAACCATTTCCAACGCCTTGAACTTCGAGTCTCTTCTTGGATTCAATGACATTATTAGAGATGCCCTCAAGACTCTCTTTTTCCAACAAGTCGGTCCACAATTGAAAGCGGCTCCACAACTTAGAACATTTGCAAACCTTCCTGCCAAGGGTAACGACACTAGTGAGGCTACTAGAACTATTGTCCAAGGTGCTGCCACTAGCTTTGCTCAAGCGGATGTAGATGCAGTTGCATCTGGTAAGGCTGTGTTGGTCAATGCACCCACCAGCACTGCTTAGAGTGTGTATTATTTAGAGCAGTTCATTGATTGAGCTCCTTTTTCGTAGGGCCAGGTCCCTTTTTATATGTATGTTTGTGCCAAATGAACTAATTAGACTCGAATGGTTTGTAAAATAGCATTCTTTTTCTTTTCTGTTTCTGATTTAAACCAAGAGCTTCAACAGCTACCTGGTAATTCATTAAGAAAATGGTTTACCATTGAATGAAGGAATCGTAGCATGCTTGAAGTATTCATTACACTCCTGCATTTGAGATTACTATGGTGGAGAATTGATGCAGCATACAGGTCTTTGATTTTGTGCAATCTACAGGCATCCAATTCTCAGAGACAGCCATTAGAAGTAATCGATACTCTTTACTCCAGAAATGAATACCTTGTAGTAACACTGCTGGAGGCTATCAGATGGGGTTTAGCTTTCGTTAAGCAGAAATCCAAAAAGGGTACTACGGGCAGAAGGGTTATGAATAATGGCTCATTTTTTACGAACTCGTGTAATGCTGTTATTTTCATATGATATCATAAAAAAAAGAAGGAAGGGACCCTTCTTTATTGAACACTTTGGCAATTCATACTAGGAACACGAGCTTCCACCAAGGTTTCGAATTACAACAAAGCATTTATTATACTCTTGCAGTGAGGAGATATCGTACCTACTTACTATCTCCTGCGAGTACATTAAAATATTACCCCAAAACCAACAATCGGGTACTTAGCTGTGTTGTTGTGCCTGAAATGAAACCAAATCCAATATTTGGGCGTTTTACGGCATGATTTCATCAATTGCCTATTTAGGCAATTTTGCACCTGCACCGGGCTTACCAGGCTACGCACAACACCTAAAAGAGTTTAATAAATTGACAAGGAAACCGTAACACGACTAACTTGTGATCTTGAAAGTATGTTCAATCAATGGAAAATTAAGGAATCAATCCACATTTCGATTCAACCAACAAAAATCTATATTAAAGGAGTAAATCTAATCGGCCATTTCAGACATCGCCTGTTTCACAGGCTCAGAGTCGTAGTAAAGCTTGTTCTGTTGGATATACCTTATCACAGAGTTGGGCAACAAGTACTGTACTGACAAATCAGAAAGTTTCATAAGGTATAACATTTACCCTCGTGCAAATTACAATTTACTAACTCAACGTGCTCGGGAAAATACAGACCTGGAGCATTGGATGCGCCAATATTCACTCAGATATCTTGGTATATCCCAAATCTAAGCTTTTTTTGCTGAATAAAGAGGGGAACAGGAAATTGAGCCCTATTACCTGCATGCCCGTTATTCCAAATAGTACATATTGTGAGATTAACGGTAGTGCAACGGTTTTACCCACAATCTTTGTCTGAGGGTCCTATGCAACAAGAATTAAATTATAAACAATCTCAATGATATGAATATTTCATTCCCACGAAGACAATATTCCTGCTTGTAGTTAGGTACTTGTGGTAGCATTTGATTAGTGCCAAGTAACTGGTGCACTTACGTGCTAGCCAAGGAATTCTCAGATATCTATTATGTGATTGGTGATAAGAGTAAAAAGAAAATCGACACTACCTAGATAGGTAATTCTGAAAGCATTTGTTTCCCATCTCCAGTCAAGGGGTAGACATGCTCAGGTGCTAGTGCACGATAAATTGATAATTCGCTTCTGCCGTGCATTGTTTTTCGCCTCCGCACCTTCATGTATCTCCTAATAACCTAAATAGGAAATTTTGCAGCGAACTCACGTGAAGGATATTTGGGTGCAACTAACAGAAGGAATAGCAGAGGATATCAAGCTTGGAACCTCTTGGATGGCAAGGTCAAGAAAGTACATAAGGGGCAAATGTCCCTGAGTTCTGTTCGTTAAATCAGAGCTTCTTGAATAATCCACTTAATCATGAAGTGCCACTCGCTCTATTTTCTCATGTCCGTGTTGATGTTCCAGGTTACATTAGCAGTTCCGTTCAAGAGCTTAATCACACAAGGTAATATCAGTAGACCCGATGAAGACCCTTTCTATATTCCAAAGGAAGGATATGAAAAGCTTAAGTTAGGAGAAGTAATCAACTACAGAAAATTAACCAATCCATTGGGTATTTTATACTTCGAGATGAAGGTCGAGTCCACCTACCAATTCTTAGTTCGTTCCGAGGACTCCTTCGGTAATCCAAATGCTATTGTTACTACTGTCATGGTTCCTCATAATGCTGACCCATCAAAAAT